CTGCTCACCTGAGTTGCTGCCTTACAGCCCAGATTCCCAGGGTCTCACCCATAACTGGGGCTCAGCACAGTCCGGAGCTTTTATCTCCTTCCCTCTAGGGAACACCAGCGAGGGACTCAGCTGCGCCCCTCCTCTCTGGCTCCGTCCTCTCCCCACATGTGCACCATGTCTCCATACCTTAGGCCTTTATAGCACCTCTGATTTTTCCTTCTCGTTTTCTCTTTCCTTCTAGTTGTAGAATTTCCAGTCAGTCAACTTTCCTGTAGTTCTGGATAATGTTCATTTTGTATTTTAGTTGTATTTCTTGAAATTGTTGTGTGAGGCTGCAGTTAGGCATTTACTTATGCCACCATCTTGGTTTCTCCCCTATTGTCTCTGTTCCTCAGATTTTTAATTCACTTGATTTTTAGATTCACTTGTTGATAAATATGTATTTGTTGTTCATAATTTATATTTACTTTTTTTCTTCTTTTTCCTCTTTTTAAAGAATATCTTTCAGCATTTCATATAATATTTTTTTGGTGGTGATGAACTCCTTTATCTTTTTCTTATCTGGGAAGCTCTTTATCTGCCCTTCCATTCTGAATAGCTTTGCTGGGTAGAGTAATCTTGGTTGTAGGTTCTTGCTGTTCATCACTTTGAATATTTCTTGCCACTCCCATCTGGCCTGCATAGTTTCTGTTGAGAAGTCAGCTGATAATCATATGGGTGCTCTTTGCTGCTTTTAATATTCTCTCTTTGTCTTTTGCTCTTGGCATTTTAATTATGATGTGTCTTGGTGTGGTCCTCTTTGGATTCCTTTTGTTTGGGATTCTTGGTGATTCCTAGACTTTAAGTCTATTTCTTTCACCAGGTGGGGTAAGTTTTTTTCATTATTTCTTCAAATAGGTTTTAGTATCTTGCTCTCTCTCTTCTTCTGGCACCCCCATAATTCTGATGTTGGTTCACTTGAAGTTGTCCCAGAGGCTTCTTACACTATCTTCAACTTTCTGGATTCTCTTCTCTTCTTGCTTCTCCAGAGGAGTGTCCTTTGCCTCTTTGTATTCCAAATCTTTGACTTGATTTTTGCATTCCTCTAGTCTTGCTGTTGGGTCTCTGTATAATATATTTTCTTTCAGCTAATGTATTTTAATTTCTAGTTGGTCCTTTTTCATATCCTCCAGGGTCTCATTAAATTTATCAGCCTTTTCTAGGAAATTCTTGAGTAATTTTATAACCATGGTTTTGAACTCTATGTCCAGTCATTTGTTCTCCTCCATTTCTTTCATTTGTGATCTGTTTCCTTGTCTTCTTATTTTCACTGCTTCCCTGAGTGGTAGGGTAGCTTTTTGTGCTGGGTGTCCTATGTGGTTCAATGGGTCAGCCTCCCAGTTACCTGAGGTGGACACACTTGGTGCACCCTTTTGTGGACTGTTTGTACAGCCTTGTTGTAGTTAAGTTTTTTTCTTTTTTATAATATATTTTATTGATTTTTTTCAGAGAGGAAGGGAGAGAGCTAGAGAGCTATAAACGTCGATGAGAGAGAAACATTGACCAGCTCCCTTTTGCACACCCCCTACCGGGGATGTGCATGCAACCAAGGTACATGCCCTTGACTGGAATCGAAACTGGGACTTTTCAGTCCGCAGACCAACACTCTACCACTGAGCCAAACTGGTTTCGGCTGTAGTTAAGTCTTGATTGTTGTTGGTGTCACTGGGAGGAATTGACCTCCAGACCAATTGGCTATGAGGACCCGCTGTGTCTATAAGAGAATAATTGCTGTGCTGCAGACATGTTTATGGGGCAGGACTGGTTCCAATAGGGCTTTGGTGCTCACTGATTCTGCCTCTTGAAAGTGTTCCTTATGAGAGTAGTTGAAATTTCATCTTATACAGACCACTAGATACACTAGTTTCTGGATCTCCAATGGGGTGCAGGTCAGCTACTGTCTGAGGCCACCCAGCAGGAGCTACAGCAAGAACTACAGTTTTCTCCTCTTTGCTTGGGGTTTGGCGGTTTTGGAGCAGTGTGACGGGAGCTGCAGTTTATTTGGTTAAGCTGCCACAGAGCAGGCCATTAATATGCAAAAGCTGTTGTGTGGAGCCTGGGTGGGTTTGTGGAATGTGCAGGGTCGGGTCTCAGGGTGTCACTAGGCTAGGGCGTGGCATACAGTGATGGCTGCCATCAGCCTTCTCTGTCTTTCTGCGTTTCCAAGTTCCTGTGTCCCGCGCTCCAGTGCAGTAAACAATGATTGCTGAGTGCACCCCTGCAAAAAAGTCACCCTCGCTTTCTGACCCGAAGGCTAACAGTCCAGCTTCTCCTCATAGGCGACTGGGTCCCCTCGTGTCCCCAGAAACTGGATTTCACAGTAATTGGGAGCTTGTCTCCCTTCTGGTTGAAAAAAAGCCACACGCCCAGTCTCTCTCCACCAGCCTGATTCTCATACCTCTGTACCTCAGCTTTTCAACATTTGTGCTCCGTTCTTTTTTCCTTCTAGTGGTAAAACATCCACTCAGCCAGCTTTCCTGAGGTTCTGGGTGATAGACGTTTTGTCTTTTAGTTGTAGTTTTGAAATTGTTGTACAAGTCGGCAGTTTCATTGTTTACCTTTGCCGCCATCTTGGTTTCTCCTGCCCACCCCCCCAGGGTTATTTTTTTCTAAGGCCTTTATCCTTGGCTTGTAGATGGCTGTCTTCTCCCTGTGTCTCCTTCACTTGGTATTGGCTCTGTGTCTATATGGTTCTCAACCTCTTTAATGCCGCAATCCTTTAATACAGTTAGTTCCTCGTGTTGTGGTGACCCCCAACCATAAAATTATTTTCATTGCTACTTCATAACTGTAATTTTGCTATTGCTAATGAATTGTAATGTGAGTATCTGTGTTTTCCATGCATAAGCCTTGACCAGGAATTGAACTGGCAACCTTTTGGTGCTTGGGGAGATGCACAACCCCCTGAGCTACACCCACCAGGGCCAACCCTGCACTTTCCATGGGAGGGAATGGGGAACCCAGATAAGGAGTCCTTCTCCTCACAACCTGTGTTTCATTGGAAAGGGATGGGGAACAGGAGGCTCAGGGGGCAGTGAGGAGAGAAAACTAGAATGCTGATAAAGCATCAAGCAGAATGTCCAATGACAGCGGGAGGGTTAGGGAGAGGTGGGGGAGAGAAGAGATCAACCGAAAGACTTGTGTGCATGTATATAAGCATAACCAATGGACACAAAACTCTGGGGGGTGAGGGCATGTATGGGAGTGGGATTGGGGGGGCAATGATAACATATGTACACATATAATACCTTAATAAAACATGAAAAATAAAATAAAATTTTAAAAAATTGTTGAAGAAAAGTACAGTATAAGGCAACTCAAAATCACCCTTTGAGGTTTACTCTTAAAGGATGAACTAAACTTGTGACTGCTTGGAAATTATGTAAATATCCTATTATAATGAACAATGTTAAAATAAAAAAAGAGAGAGAATAGAATGCTGAGCACTGAGGAGGCACTGATGGGGGTGGGGAAAGGGTGGACAGTCCTTTAGGATGAATCCGTCAGAAAAGAGGGCTGGGGAGGCAGTGGGTGGGTGGTACTTGACCAACCCTGTGGGTTTCTGGGGATGTTCTGGATCAAGGAAGGCTGTGTGTAGACATCAAGGGGTCCCAGATGCTTGGGACGGACACAGTGATCCTCCAGGAAGTACAGAGTAAGTTCGTTCTCCCAAAAGGGGATGCTTATTTTGTGGAACCCAAAGACCCAGAAAAAGTTCCCTTCCAGAAACCATGACAGCAAAGGACAGATGCCCCCTCCCACTTCATGACCCGTTGGCTTGGATGGATGGGGGGGGGGAAGGGGGGCAGCTTTATGCCAACTTTGATGCTTCCCCACCTCTAAGGCTGCCCATGACCCACCCCCTGCCACCTGGCCCCGGCCTCCCCCATCCATCCCCTCCCCACAACAGTGTTGGCCCTCAGGCCTGGCCAGCTCAGGGGACCCAGAGGCAAACAGGCGAGTCCAGGTGGTGGCCTAAGAGACAAGAAGGCCGAGTCAGGGCGGGATTGAGGTGACAGAACTCGCCCCAACCCCTCCATGAGCCTCACCCCACTCCTGCCTGGACCCCTCCCTCTGACACCCACAGCGGGTGGGACTGGGTGCCTGTCACTCCTTGAGTCAATTATTAGGCAGAGATGGGCTGAATATTATAAAGATTTATTAGGATAGTGTAGGCCAAATTGGAGAGAGCACCTCTGGGACCAGATTGTTATCTTTCCAAGATGAGAGGAGACTCAGAGAAGGAGCAGGGACTGCATTCTGAGGTTCATCCCCTTGGCCCTGGGCCAACAACACTCAGCCAGGTTAGAATGGCTTTGCCTGATCAGAAGAGAACATGGCAGTTAGCAGACAGGAATAACAGGATGGCATAGCAGGTCCCCACTGTTCTATTTCTGCCCGAACAGCTCCTCTCTGACACTCCTCCCCCTCCCTCCCTCCTTCCCTCTCCCAAAGTCCTCTCCTCAGTGCCCAGCCTCCTCCCCCAGGCAGGCCATCACCCAGGCCCTGACTGTCCCTAGCTCCTCCCATCCCCCTCCAGCCCCCTCCTCACCTGCAGGCTTCCTGGGACCTCAGGCCAGCAGGGCCTGGAGGCTCAGGATCAGGAGCACAAGGACTGTCGGGCCAGCAGGGGTCATGGAGAGGCGCAGGCTGATCCCCGAGTTGGGGGGGCACTTGGCAGAGAGCAAGGCCTCCTTCTCTTGTCTGAGGGGGAGATGGGGATAATCAGCAGGCTGCCAGGCCTGGCTCCACTGGTGCTGGGCTCCAAGGCCCTCCACATCTGCTCTCCTTCCTCAGCAATCACTGGGCAGGAGTGGGGCCAGTTGCTCCCAGAGTTGGGTGTCTGGAGGGCCAAGGCTGGGACTCCAACTTTGTCCCCAGGGCAAGGGGAATTTTCAGAGCCTAGGGGACTCTAGGTCTTGGTGTTGGATGGAGGAAGGGGTGTGGCCTGGGGTGGTGGGTGTCCTGACCTTAGTTGTTTCACCTCCTCATATTTCTTCTGCAGCTCCATGCATTTGTCCTGCAGCTCCGAGGATTTTTTCTCTAGCTCACAGGATTTCTCCTGCAGCTCCTGATTCAATGTTTTGATCTCCTCTGAGGCGGAACAGAGCATGTGTCAGCACCCATCTCTGGACAGGACCCCGCCTCCAGCCCGCCTCCATTGGAGCCAGTGCACCTTGGAAGTCTTTAATGCCCGCCCCTTCCTTCTTCCACTCCACTGGGTCTTGTTCCTCTCACCCAGTGTTCTCAACCTTCCTAATGCTGCACCCCTTTAATACAGCTCCTCATGTTGTGGTGCCCCCCAACCATAAAATCATTTTCCTTGCTACTTCATAACTGTCATTTTGCTACTGCTATGAATCATTATGTAAATATCTGTGTTTTCCGATGGTCTTAGGCTACTCCTGTGAAAGGGTCATTCAATCTCCAAAAGGGTCATGACCTACAGGTTGAGAACCACTGCTCTCCCCGGTCCCCAATCCTGAGGCCCTCCCCATCCCTCCTCTTCACACCTGACCTGCCCCTGCCAACTCCCTTACTGCAGCCAGGCCTGTGTTTTTCTCACCTTGAAGCTTCTGCACCACCTTCTGTTGCTGGTTGTTCCTAGCCATCTCCATTAGCAGGGCAATCATCAGGGTCACCTGGGATGTCTTAGAAGAGTAAGGGCATTGATGGGGATGGCTGCTGTGTCTGCCGCCCTCCCCGCCACTCCACCTTCCCATCCCCAGCTTGCTCTCCAGAAAGTCTGCAAACTTTCCACACTCCTGCTCCGCTCGGAGGCCATCCTTGCCAGCTGGACTATTGGCCTTGGCAGCCAAAAGGACTGCTGCCACAGACAGACTTACCACAAATAGGCCCATCAGGATCCCCACCCACACAGGCAGCTTGCGGTCCTCCAGCTTCTTGGGGTACTCATGCGTGGGCACAGGGGGGCGGCAGTAAAAGCAGGGTGCCATCCACAGGGATTTGGGGGAGCCTGGGAGGGAGTTCGGGAAGAAAGCTGGAACTTCCTACTTGCTGAAGCTGCCCCCTTATTAGCAAAGAATCTGTGCTGACCAATGAAAACTTCCAAAACCCGGCATGTGCAGGAAGAGGACAGTTTACCTTTCACTTTCATTTCCCAGGAATGACGTGCGTTGTTGCTGCTACATTACTGTTTGACTTAGACCTTGTGGGCTGGCTGCTGGCCCGTGAGCTCCTGTGGGAGAGGACACCCCATCGCAAGGCCCTGCCCTTCTCCTGTGTCCCTGAAGGGGACAGAGGCAGTGACCGGAAGCCTAGGGCATGCCAGCATTGTGTGCCTGTGGTCTGTGATCTGAAGAGGCAGAGCTATCATTGGTCCAGTCCCCAGCTGAGGCTGAGAGGTGAGTGGTGGCTGGGAGTGGGCAGGGCCGGGGACTCACCCAAGAGGCTGGCGTTGGTGTTACTCTCCGCAGTGACCCAGCAGGAGCTCCGTGAGCATCCCTGCTGCCTCAGGGGACCCTGGGGGCCACGGAGGCTGTCGGAGGAGGAATATCCCTCTGCCTGGACCGCTTAAAGCCACTCAGCAGCCACAGGACCAGGATGGGGATGCTCTTGCTGAGGAGTCTCCAAGGAGCTTGTGCAGCCCCTGAGCAGGCGCCTCTCTCCCAGCCCAGGACCCCAGAAAGCGGACCTCCCAGCCCTGGGGAAAGCGGACCTGTGTGAGCTGCGCTGTGCTGGCCTTCACACCATAGGGCCAACGCGGGACCAGCACCGCAGGTCGGAGGCCAAGGCTGTGAGTGAGCACCCTGCCTCCCTGTGGGACTCTGGGCAAGCAATGTCCCCTCTGCCTCAGTTTCCTCGGAGCTGGAAAATGGGGGTGGTGATACAGTAACATTTTCCTGCTTTTCCAATTTTGCCACCGAGGCCAGTGCCTTCCTCCCCTCGCACTAGTCCTGGCCCTGCAAACAGAAAGCTGTGGGTTTTCCCTATAAACCGGTGATGCCACCATTCTTCTGTTCGCTCAGGTTAAGGTCCAAGCACTTGTGACCAAGTCTGATTGTCAGCCAGGGCGGGGAATCTCAGGGAAAGTGATGAGAGGGAAGAGGCGGGCGTTGTGATCTCTGATGAGATTCTCAAGTTTGTGAGAATGTACTCCCACATAGCTTCTATTTTTTAATATATTGTTATCTATTTCAGAGAGGAAGGGAGAGGGAAAGAGAGATAGAAACATCAATGATGAATGAGAATCATTGATTGGCTGCCTCCTGGACACCCCCTACTGGGATGTGCCCGCAACCAAGGTACATGCCCTTGACCAGAATTGAACCTGGGACCTTTCAGTCCACAGACCAATGCTCTATCCACTGAGCCAAACCAGTTTTATTTTTTAAATTGGTTTTTATTTTTAATTGATTGATTGATTTTAGAGAGAGAGGGAGTGAGGGAGAGAAACGTCATTTTGCTGTCTCATTTATGCACTCATTGATTGATTCTTGTCTGTGCCCTTATTGAGGATGGAACTGTGACCTTGGCATACCAGGAGGACACTGCAACCAACTGAGCTACCCAGCCAGGGCTAAACTGAGTTTTAGAGACAGAGGAAGAAGAGGGGAAGGGACAGGAAAGAGAGAGAAGCATCTATGTGAGAGCAAAACCTTGATTGGCAGGATCCTGCATGCCCCCTAGCCAGAAAGGAGCCTGAACCCAGGCATGAGACTCGCCCAGGAATTGAACTGGCAACCTTTTGGTGCTTGGGAAGATGCACAACCACCTGAGCCACAGCCAGCGGGGCCAGCCCTGCACTTTCCAGGGGAGGGGATGGGGAACCAGACAAGGAGTCCTTCTCCTCACAGCCTCGGTTTCCATGGAAAGGGATGGGGAGCAGGAGCCTCAGGAGACAGTGAGGAGAGAAGACCAGAATGCTGAGCACTGAGGAGGCACTGATGGGGCTGGGGAAGGGTGAACAGTCCTTTAGGATGAACCCATCGGAGAAGAGGGCTGGGGAGGCAGTGAGTGGGTGGTACTTGACCAAACCCTGTGGGTTTCTGGGAACATTCGGAGCAAGGCAGCCTGGATGTAGACATCAAAGGGTCCCAGATGCTTGGGACTGACACAGTGATCCTCCAGGAACTACAGAGTAAGTTCGTTCCTCCAAAAGGGGATGCTTACTTTGTGGAACCCAAAGACCCAGAAAAAGTTCCCTTCCAGAAACCATGACAGCAAAGGACAGATGCCCCCTCCCACTTCATGACCCGCTGGCTTGGACGGATGGGGGGTGGGATAGTGGGGTAGCTTTGGGCCAACTTTGATGCTTCCTCACCTCTAAGGCTGCCCATGATCCACCCCCTGCCACCTGGCCCCAGCCTCCCCCATCCATCCCCTCCCCACAGCAGTGTTGGCCCTCAGGCCTGGCCAGCTCAGGGGACCCAGAGGCAAACAGGCGAGTCCAGGTGGTGGCCTAAGAGACAAGAAGGCCGAGTCAGGGCGGGATTGAGGCGACAGAACTCGCCCCAACCCCTCCATGAGCCTCACCCCACTCCTGCCTGGACCCCTCCCTCTGACACCCACAACAGGTGGGACTGGGTGCCTGTCACTCCTTGAGTCAATTATCAGGCAGAGATGGGTTGAATGCTATGAAGATTTAATAGGATAGTGCAGGCCGAATGGGATAGAGCGCCTCTGGGACCAGGTTGTTATCTTTCCAAAATGAGAGACTCTCAGAAAAGGAGACTGCTTTTTTTCTTTCCATTTTTTTAAAACATATTTTATTGATGTTTTACAGAGAGAGGAATTGAAAGGGATAGACAGTTAGAAACATCGATGAGAGAGAAACATCGATTAGCTGCCTCCTGCATACCTCCCATTGGGTATGTGCCCACAACCAAGGTACACGCCTTTGACCGGAATTGAAACTGGGGACCTTCAGTCCGTGGGCTGACACTCTTTCGCTTTGCCAAATTGGTTATGGCCAGACTGCATTCTGCAGTTCATCCTCATGGCCCTGGGCGAACATCGCTCAGCCAGGTTAGAATGGCTTTGCCAGATCAGAAGAGAACATGGCGGTTAGCAGACAGGAATAACAGGATGTCATAGCGGGTCCCCACTGTTCTATTTCTGCCCCAACAGTTCCTCACTGACACTCTTCCCCCTCCCTCCCTCCCAAAGACCTTCTCCTCAGCGCCCAGCCCTCCTCCCCAGGCAGGCCACCGCCCAGGCCCTGACTGTCCCTAGCTCCTCCCATCCCCCTCCAGCCCCCTCCTCACCTGCAGACTTCCTGGGAACTCAGGCCAGTAGGGCCTGGAGGCTCAGGGTCAGGAGCACAGGGGCCACAGAGAGGCAGAGGCTGATCCCAGAGTTGGGGGGGCACTTGGCAGAGACCAAGGCCTCATTCTCTCGTCTGAGAGGGAGAAGGGGATAATCAGCAGATTGTCAGGTACTGGGCTCCAAGGCCCTCCACATCTGCTCTCCTTCCTCACCAATCACTGGGCAGGAGAGGGGCTGGTGGCTCCCAGAGTTGGGTGACTGGAGGGCCAAGGCTGGGTGGGACTCCAACTTTGTCCCCAGGGCAAGGGGAATTTTCAGAGCCCAGGGGACCCTAGGTATTGGAGTTGGAAGGAGGAAGGGGTGTGGTCTGGGGTGGGTGGGTGTCCTGACCTTAGTTGCTCCAGCTCCTGGGACTTGTCCTGCAGCGACTGCTTCACTGTCTTGATCTCCTCTTAGGGGAGACAGAGAGTGTGTCAGCACCCTCTACTGACCCCACCTCGGGACAGGACCCGCCTCTAGCCCGCCTTCATTTGGGGAGAGAACCTTGGAAGTCGGGCATGCCCACCCCTTCCTATTCCCACTGGACTGGGTCCTGTCCCTCTCACCGGACCCCAATCCCGAGGCCCCCCCCTTCCCTCCTCCTCACACCTGACCTGCTCCTGCCAACTCCCTACTGGAGTCAGGCCTGTGTTTTTCTCACCTTGAAGCTTCTGCACCAGCTCCTGCTGCTTGCGGCCCCGAGCCTTCTCCTCTTCCAGGGAAATCTTCAGGGTCTCCTGGGATGCCATGGAGGAGTGAGGGTGTTGGAAACTGGGGTTCTTATTCCTGGAGGGGTTGGCTGCTGTCCCGTGGCCCTGCCCCCTCCTCAGGCCCAAACCCCTTTCAGGATTCCTCCCAACCCTCTCTGAACCTGTCTCCACCCTGAAGAATGGCCACAGCCTCCACCCTCCCAGGGAGTGTTCCTCAAAATGGAAATTTTGCTGAAACCGGTTTGACTCAGTGGATAGAGTGTCAGCCTGTGGACTGAAAGGTCCCGGGTTAGATTCTGGTCAAGGGCATGTACATTCCCAGTAGGGGGTGTGCAAGAGGCAGCTGATCGATGATTCTCTCTCATCGATGTTTCTAACTCTCTAGCCCTCTCCTTTACTCTCTGTAAAAATATATATATATATATTTATTTAAAAATGGAAATTTCAAACACCCCGCACTCCCCACTCCTGCACACACAGGAAATTGGAGGCTCTCTTGGCACAAATCTCTAGGAAAGATTTCCAGATCTTCTGTGCAATTGTCCGAGAAGAGTTGGAGTCCCCTCAAGCCCCGAACACATGGGATTTCTGAACCCACGTTCTCTGTCCACTGGGAGTTTCAAGGACCCCTTATCAAGACCCCAGTTAAAATGCTGCCTCTTAGGGATGCAGTGGAAGTATCAAGGGCCCCTGCCTTGCTCTGGCCGGGTAGCTCAGTTGGTAAGATCGTCATGCCAATATGACAAGGTTGTGGGCTCAAGCCCTGGTCAGGGCGCATACTGAGAATGAACCAGTGAGTGCATCAATAAGTGGAACAACAAATCAATGTTTCTCTCACTCTCTTTCTTCCTCTCTCTAAAATCAATGAATAAAAATTAAAATAAAAAAATAAAGAAAGAAAAAAGCCCCCTGCCTTCTTCGGAGTCAGGTGGTGTCCCCATCCCCACCCCAGAGGGGATTTCTGCTTCTCTGTGACTGTGCCCGGGGGAAGTCCCCAGCTGCCCTAGACCAGTGTCCTGGAGTTTGCAGATTCATCCACATGTGACTGGGGATACTGAGGCCCCTTATTGGGTGCTCTGAGGTCCCACACTGGTACCCCAGAGGGACTTGTGCTCCCCACACCCTGCTGGGGAAATCCAGGCTCCCCATGGAGGGGCCTAGGGGCAGGTTCAAGGTCTAGCTCGATCTCCAGCTGGACTCTGGGGTCCCCAAGCACCTGGGCCCTGGGATCCTCCCAAGCACAGGGCCTCTCTAGGAGGGGCAGTCACTTACCACAGTCTGGTTGCAGGTGACAACTTTGGCCTCAGTCCTCTGCAAGGCGCCCTCGGCCTGGGTCAGCTCCTGCTTCAGGTGGTGGTTGATGTTTCGACACTCCCGCTCAGCTCTAAGGCCATCCTTGCAAGCTGGGCTATTGGCCTTGGCAGCGAGAATGCCGACCGCCACAGACAGACCCACCACCAGTAGGCCCAGCAGGATCCCCACAATCCCCACCCACACAGGCAGCTTGCGGTCCTCCAGCTTCTTGGGGTACTCATCCATGGGCAAACAGGAGTAGCGGCAAGAAGTGGGTGCCATCCAGAGGGATTCGTGGGAGCCAGGGAGGGAGTTTGGAAAGAGACCTAGAACTTTTATACTTGCTGGAGCTGCCTCCTTATTACCATAGGATCTATGCCGACCAATGAAAACTTCCAAAACCCGGCATTTGTAGGAAGAGGACAGGTTAGCTTTCACTTTCATTTCCCAGAAATGAGGTGCATTGTTGCTGCTAAATTATGGGCTTGGTCCTTGTGGGCTGGCTGCTGGCCCGTGAACTCCTGTGGGAGAGGACGCCCCATCGCAAGGCCCTGCCCTTCTCCTGTGTCCCTGAAGGGGACAGAGGCAGTGACCGGAAGCCTAGGGCATGCCAGCCTTGTGTGCCTGGGGACTGTGACCTGAAGAGGCAGAGCCATCATTGGTCCAGTCCCCAGCTGGGGAAACTGAGGCTGAGAGGTGAGTGGTGGCTGGGAGTGGGTCTGTCTTTGGTGTCACTCTCTGCAGTGACCCAGCAGGAGCTCCGTGAGCATCCCTGCTGCTGTCTCAGGGGACCCTGGGGGCCACAGAGGCTGTCGGAGGAGGAATATGCTTCTGCCTGGACCGCTTAAAGCCACTCAGCAGCCACAGGACCAGGATGGGGATTGTTATGGGGTGACCCACAAGAGACCACCACCAGAGTCAGAGATCAAAATGTATGAGCCTTTATCAAGCCGGCCAGCAACCACAGTTGCAGCACTTCACGGCGGTAAAGGCCAAACTGCAGTGCCGACCACTGGTGTTACAGCAAACTCATACTCGGAATCCACGAGAGGGAGTTGGGACAGTTACTATGACAACCCAAAGGTGACAACAGTGATTTCAGCGGTTTCCAAGGAACTCAGGGCACAGGTGCAACGCCTGGGCATGCTGGGCCGGAGCGTGAACCGCCACCTCCCTCCAAACTCCCACCGACCCATTCATTGTTCGGTGACCTGCTCCACCTCCCTCAGTCCCAAGGCTCCTGCCTCCAGGCGGCCGAGGAGCTGTGCAGTGTTTGCAGCCCAGAACGTTCCCCGCTGGTCTTCACGGGGAATCAAATAGATGATTCAGATTCCTCCCCTCCTTTCCCGGGGATGGGCAGGTGATGGGTGTGGAAAACCATGCGCTTTGCAGCCTGCATTCTACTTCGGATAAGCGTTTGGCAAAGCACAGGCCAAACAGTGAAATGAGAAATGGGAGGAACAGAGGTCAGGCTGTGGCTGACAAGAGGGTAGTCAGCGGTGGTGACCAAGTGAACAGGTTTTCCCACCAACGTCCTGCGGCCCTTCTCCTTCCTTTCCGAGCTAAGAGGCGTTTCCTGAGCTGACTCAGCCTCTCCCTGATGAGTGATTTGTGTAAAGACAAGCCTCCTTGTTTTAGGAACAATAAATCTAATCCCCTCCGGTTCTGCAGGACTACCTCCCTCGCCTAGGAGCTTAAGGAGTCTTCTAGCTGTCCTACCGATGTTTCCTGGTCGACCCGTTGTCCTGGCTCTTTGTAATACTGATGTATTTCTGTTATTAGAGCGGCAGTCCCGCCAGGCCTAGTCCTGCTAGGAGGGGGACCAGGACAGGGCACCCTCTTCTACCTTCTAGGTTCTAATCTGAAGTGTTCCCTACCTCCGTCCCCAGAGTGACAGTACACTTGCGGTAGGATATGAGGAAGGATACATATGCCAGGACCTGTTGGTGAAAGCAAAGAAGGGAGGAAGGCACTAGGTACTGTCCCATTGCTGCACGCCCACCACGTTCCCTCCGGTGCTACAGAATACCTATCAGGGACTCATCATACTCTCGAGGCAGTTCTGTGACCTGAGTGCATGAGGACGAGTGTGGCTCAGGTATTCTCTGCACAGGTGAGGAGGCATAAAAGAAGGGTGCTTATGTGGGGTCCCGCGTTAGTGTGACATTGAGGGGGTTCTCAGTGCGCCTTGCTGTCCATCTTTCAGCAGTCTCCTCAGCTTTCCTGACCTGAGTCCGATGGACCCAACGCTTCTTTCCCCCCAACCAAGGCCAGTGCCTTCCTCCCCTCGCACTAGTCCTGGCCCTGCAAACAGAAAGCTGTGGGTTTTCCCTATAAACCGGTGATGCCACCATTCTTCTGTTCGCTCAGGTTAAGGTCCAAGCACTTGTGACCAAGTCTGATTGGCAGCGAAGGGGTGGAATCTCAGGGAAAGTGATGAGAGGGAAGAGGCGGGCGTTGTGATCTCTGATGAGGAAGTTGATGATGCTCCCATGCCAGGAAAAGCAAAGCACAGTGTGGGGGTGGAAAACACACTTTCCTTTCACCTTTCTAGTGGTTCTGGCTAGACTCCTAATCCAAGTAACACAGACAGGGGAACAGGCACCAGCAGCCAGCTCGCTTGCAGGGGACATGCTATCACACATGACAGCTTCATTACGTGTCTGTATTGTGCCATGGGAGCCCCCAGGGCAGCGGGGCATTGGGGGCCTGGGTGGCATCCAGAGCTACAGAGGGAGCCCATGTGCCTGGACTGGGGCAGGAGGTCTGCTGGGCCACCTGCAACCTGGACGTGGGTCCAAAGGGCCTCGCTCGTGTCCTCTCCGTCCTCCCTCCTCGTTCACGTTAAACCGCAGAGGCCTGTGATGGCGCCCCCTGGAGCAGGTCCTCCTGTAATCCCTTTCAGGCCGATAGGGAGGAGGGCAGGGTTCTTCCTGAGGCCGTTGTTTCTTGAAAGTAACAGCTTAAAACAGGCAGGATTTCCAAAGGCGTGTTTGGGGTGGTAGACTGTGCTCCCCTCAACAGGAACAACAACCCCCGCCAACAGGGTTTCCCCAGATTCAGGGAATGTTTGTGATAAGAGAATATACTTACACCTAGATTATATTTTTAAATATATTGTTATCTATTTCAGAGAAGAAGGGAGAGGGAAAGAGAGAGAAACATCAATGATGAATGAGAATCATTGATTGGCTGCCTCCTGCACACCCACTACTGGGGGTCAAGCCCTCAACAGGGACATGTGCCCTTGACCGGAATCAAACTTGGGGCCCTTCAGTGCGCAGACCAATGCTCTACCCACAGCGACAAACCAGCTAAGGCTACAGCCTGGCTTCCTGATATAGCAGCCAGCTTTCCATAGAAGACCAGGGAAAGTAGGCAGGTGTGGTCTGTACAGCAATGAGATCTGGGGCAACAGCTTTTCTCTGAGCTTCAGGAGGCAGAGAAATGAGCAACGTTACCACACACCCTGCCCTCTGGCAAGAGAGAGGATGGGCAGTTAATCCACAGAAAGTTCAAGACCCAGTAGGAGGCCATAACATGTAGATGAAGATGCCCTGAGCTGTTTGGCAGCCAATGGTCATCCTATTCCGGTTTGGGGGAAATGCCTTCAGCCATTCCCAACGGGCGATACCATACATGACTCAGCCTTTGCTGAGTCCTCAAGTTCCATCAACCTGTGGATGAAACTCTTGCAATTAGCACATGCTGGAACTGGCTTGCCCCAGTAGAGGGCATAAGCAAATAGGAGGAACTATCTGAGAACTGTTCATTCGAGTGGGGAGCTTATGCCCTGCCCTAATGTTTTAATAGCCCGGTGTGCCTTGTGTATGGAAATGGGAGCATGGACCACTCCCATGCTCCGCCTCCCCCCCCCCCCACCCTTGCAGAAAGAGAGTGAAGGCCATTAGTAAGCAGAGTGTCAGAGCTTGGGAGCCTGGCCAGATCCTCAGTCAAGAAAACAGCTTGCAGTGAGCTTGCAGTGTTGATCCCACACAGGCCCGCATGTCCTGTGTTTCTGTTTGCTTCCCCAGGGCTACCCGTGTCGTGAGGTGGTGGGTGGACACCTGTGCCTGTGCTTCCCCACATTAGGGCTGTTCACTTCTGACCTCATTGGTGGCTTGCAGCTAGGGAGCCTGCTGGCGCTGAGCCGGGACATTTCCAGCGGAAGTTGCTGGGCATGAGAAGGAAGGAAGGCGGCTTTCCGCAAACGTCTTTGTTTACGGGCGCACCTGGGCGACGCAAGGGGGCGTGGCTCCGCGTCCCCGCGCGATTGGCCTGCGGCTTTCCGAGCATGCGCAAAACGGCGCTTTACGGCCCCGCCATCGCAGAGCCTTCTGGGAGTTGAAGTTCTGACCCCTTCCCGAACTCCGTGGCCGGGCGGCTACTCCGAAATCCGAGGCCGTCCACCACCTTCGGCGCTTGGCTTGAAGGATGGATCCGGGGCCTGACGCGATGCCCCTGGCCGGCCTGGCCTGGTCGTCGGCCTCGGCGCCCCCGCCTCGGGGATTCAGCGCGGTGAGCGGCGTCGGGGGGCAGGGGTTGGACGGGGGGCACTGGAGGCTGCGGCTGGACGGGCGCCGGGCGCTGACCCCCCTCCCGCCGTAGATCTCCTGCACCGTGGAGGGGGCGCCCGCCAGCTTCGGCAAGAGCTTCGCGCAGAAATCCGGCTACTTCCTGTGCCTCAGCCCCTTGGGCGGCCTGGAGGTAAGGGGCGCCCGCACCCCGGAATCCCGCGGTCCGCCCACTGCCCCGGTCCAGTCGCGGGGCCCTGCGCCAGGCGCGCCGGCCCCGCTGCTCGGTGACTCGCTGTGTTCTCCCCCACCCGACCCCCCAGAATCCGCAGGAGAACGTGGTGGCCGATATCCAAGTCCTGCTGGACAAGAGCCCCCTCCCGCCGGGCTTCTCCCCGGTCTGCGACCCCCTGGACTCCAGTGAGGCTCGCGTCGGAGGCTGGGGGGTGGGGGGTGGGTTTGGGGGGGGGTGCGCCCGCGTCCCTGCAGGGAGGACCACGGAGAGGGATGGAGGGTGACAGGCGCGATCTCTGAGCCTTGGCACCCCCTGACTCACTGGGTTGGCTGAGGACTCGGAGCTCTGTTCCAGGGCGGGGTGACCGGCCCTACCCTGCGTAAAAATGTGCCATTGGCACAGTCTCTCTCCTAGAGTAACAACAGAGACCTGTGTTGTGATAGTTACTACTCCATCTCCTTACACCGCAGCCAAGTTCAACCACGCGCAGTTCTCTTTTAAATGTTTTTTTTTTTTAAAACCGATTTCAGAGAGAGGGATGGAAACATCCATGATGGGAATCCTTGATGGGTTGCCTCCCGCACGCCCCCTACTGGGGATCGAGTTCCCAACAGAAGCTTGTGCCCTGACTGGAGATCCCACCGGGATGTCCTGGTCCAGGGATCCATGCTCCACCACTGAGCCACACCAGCCAGGCGCAGTTCGCTTTTTCCGTTCCCGGGCTTTTGCACACTCCGACTCCTCTCGGGGTCAGCTGACACTTCGCCCTCCGCAGCCCTGGAGTGCCCTTCTAGCCCTGATGGCCCTGCTTTCTAACCATCCGGCTTTCCCTGCCTCACGTATACCCACTGACACCGGAGTCAGCAAGCTTTTTTCTGTAAAGGGCCACCTAGGAAATATTTTAGGCTTTGCAAGCCAGGTGGTGTCTGTGGCATATTCTCTCACGCTCCCCACCCCCTTTAAAAATGGAAAAACCATTTTTAGGGAAATGTGTGGTGGGTGGGATTTGCCTCACGGGCACTCAGTTCTGTCTGACTCCATAGCTACCCATCCTCACGGTGGTGCACACGGTCACCCTGTGAATGCCCCTTCCTGTCACCAGAGATGTGCCTGCCCCAAAGGCTCCTGGGGGCTGCGTGGGGTTCTCGCCCAGGGCTCCATCATTCACGGCTTAACCAGAGAGAGAAACACCACCCGGGGACTGCCTTAAACAGTGCCTTGGAGACTGCAATCTTGGAGCCATCTTTGGGTCCCTTCCCCGCTTTTCCCTCTTCTCACGCCCCCCGCCCGCCCAGAGGCCTCCATGTCTAAGAAGAAACGCCTGTGTGTGAAGTTGGTGCCCCTGGGAGCTGCGGACACAGCTGTGTTTGACATCCGGCTGAGCGGGAAGACCAAGACGGTGCCTGGATACCTTCGGATAGGGTAGGGCCTTGGTCGGCAAACTGCGGCTCTCGAGTCTCGGTTTGCCACTCTTTTGACTAATGAATTTGCCGACCACTGGGGTAGGGCATTCCCCGCCCTCCTCACCCCCCTTCACACTCTAAGAGAGAGTTTATTTAGAAACAGAGGTTAGTTACAGAGGTGGTAGAAGGGCCCTTGGAACTTAGGAGAGAGAACAGCAGAGGTCACACACCTGGGGAAAGAGGAAGGTGAGGGGAACGTTCGGACTTCCCCCCAGATTTTGGCCTCCTTCCTTGCTCCCCAAATCCCATGTGTACACTCTGATCCTCAGAGACTCCCTTGAGGCCTTCATCCCTTCCCTTCTACCACCTCTCTGTGCCTCAGTTTCCACACTTATAAAGGGACAGTTGCGCTGGTCTTGTAGGGTCATCATAAGGGATAAATGAGTTGGTGTGTCTGAAGTTCACAGTACAGTGACGGGATCCAGCAGTTGCTTAAGATGTGGGCTGAGATGCTGGAAGGAAAATCCCCTAAAAGGCAGGGGTCACCCCGAGAGCCGGGTTCCTCCTCTCTTCTTCTGGCCGCTGTTCTCAGCCCTGGCTCTGCCTGGGCCAGAGCACCCCTCTCCCTCCCTCCCATCTAGGGACATGGGTGGCTTTGCCATTTGGTGCAAGAAGGCAAAGGCCCCTCGGCCAGTGCCCAAGCCCCGAACTCTCAGCCGGGACATGCAGGGCCTCTCCTTGGACCAACCCAGCCAGCCCGGGTGAGTGCTGGGCTCAGGGGTGGGGGCGGTGCTGGGGGCGTGGACAGGTCTGACCTGGGCTGTCCCATCACCACCAGCAAGGGCGGCCCCCCAGAGGGGACCTTGTCGAGACTGGGCTCCAGGGCCTCCACCCTGCGGAGGAGTGACTCTATCTACGAGGCCTCCAACCTCTATGGCATCTCCGGTGAGTGCAGAGCGGGGTGGGGTTGAGGTTGAGGTTGGGGTTGGAGTTGAGGTTGGGTGTGACTGGCCAAAGGTTTATACAGCACAGAAGGGGCGTGGCCACGGTCGGAACCAGGCCTGGCCCCACCCCATTCCGTAGAGACTGGTAGGGCACTGCCCTGGCCTGTGTGGTTCAGTTGGTTGACATGCCCTCTCTTACAACAAAAGGTTTGGGTTCAGTTCCCAGTCGGGCACGCACCCTGGCTGTGGCTTCCGTCCCCAGTTGGGTGTGTACAGAAGGCAACTGGTTGCTGTTTCTCTTTCAATTAATGTTCTTTCCCTCCCTTCGTGTCTCTCTAAATCAGTAAACAGATCCTCCGGTGAGGATCTATTTTATTTAAAATAAAACTGGCCAGGGGGAGGGGGAGGGACTCTGGGGTGGCAGCAGCCCCTGCCCCTCAGTTTCTTACTCCCCACCCCGTGCTTTCCTCAGCCATGGACGGGGTCCCCTTCACGCTGCACCCCCGATTCGAAGGCAAGAGCTGCGGCCCCCTGGTGAGTCTGTGCCCCGGGGGAGCCTGGGGCTGCCCCTGCCCATCACCTTCCTGGACAGGAGCACAGGGACCATCACCCAGGCCCCAGCCCAGCACTGAGCCGAGTTTCTGGGGTGGGGGAGGCTGGAGACCAAGTGCTGGGGCTGGAGGGCATGGGGAGTCTGCTGCTGGCTAGTGGCTGTGGTCAGAAGGGAGAGGGGATGTCCAGGCAGATATTGAGAGAGGGAATGGGGTTCCAGGTAGGGGTCTGGGTCCAATCTGACCTGCCCCTGCCCACCAGGCCTTCTCTGCCTTCGCTGACCTGACCATCAAGTCGCTGGCGGACATTGAGGAGGAGGTAGGTGCTGGGGCGGGGAGGAAGGGTAGGGGCTGCTGGGAGCCTTCCACACACAGGCCACCTGTCTCCCCCAGCTGCACCCCACCTCTCCAGGGCTGGAGATCACTTAGTCCCTAAGTGGCTCCCTCCCCCCCCCCCCCCCCATTCCTCACAGCAACCTCTACGCCCCTCCCTCACTCTGTGCTCTCTCCCCCCCCCCCCCCAGTACAACTACGGCTTCGTGGTGGAGAAGACAGCAGCCGCACGCCTGCCCCCCAGCGTGTCCTAGCCCTTCCTGTTCTAGGGAAGAGGCCCCGCCCACACCCCCAGGACTGGCAGCTGCCCCACCCGAGCTCGTGCTGGGGGCCTTGGCAGCACTGGGCATTCTGGAACCTCAGCCACCTGGGGAGCTGCTAGCCCGGCGGGGGTTGACCTGGCTGCCTGACGGGGTCTCCTGCCCCGGGCCCCAAAGGGCAGAGGTGGGGCCAGATGGAAACGGTGCCTTCACGTCATTTGTGTCAAGACTCTCTGTGCCCGGAGGCCACGGCTGTCCTCTGGGCAATAAACACTATGCACTCTGCGTCCGGAGTCCTGACCCTGGCCCTGCGTGTGGTCGTGGCCTTCAGCTTGTGCGAGCCGGACAGCCGTGCACCCGAGAGGCGAGGCGTGTGAGGTCCCAGCGGAGGTGGCCCTGCCTCTCCACCCGTCCTGCAGAGTGGAAACTGAGGCCCGGATTCCAGGTCACAGGAAGACCCAGTCCTGCTTCCCGCCCTTGCGAGTAGTAACGTAACGGTAACGGCTTCGAGTATCCCGGGGCCACCTCGCAGCACCTTAGACAGCTGTCTCACTAATCCTCTCACAGTGGGAAGCCTGCTGTGTCACCGTCTCACAGATGGTGGCCCTGAGGCAGCGGGCAGCTTCGGTCACAGCTGGGCTTAGCCCAGAGCCTGCGCTCAGCCAGAACGCTGTCTGTCACCTTTTCCCTCCGGCGAGCTGTGGGTACAGTGGCCGGCCCTCATTCTTCACAGTAGTTCCCGTTTATAAAACGGCAGAGAGAACTGAGTTAGTAGACATTGGGTTCCTCAGGGAAATGGGTGGGGTTCTGTGAGCATCTGTGGTCACAATTTTGTCGAGTGATTGACACCTTGTTGATGATACGGACACTGCCGCATCGTTCACGGTGAACTCGCTGCCAACAGCCGTGACTCCCTGAACAGAGCTCCCCTCACACAGGCCTTCCCTGAGCGGACGAGGCAGCCTCCGGGGCTCAGGGACACCAGGCGGCACTTGAGCACCACGCGTGGGGGCCTTTTTAAAGGGCGAAATGCCGAGAGGAAGCACAGAAACGGGGAGAGCAGGCCACAAAGGAGACTTGTGTACAGTCCGAGCTGGAGCAGCGGCAGGCTGCCACCTTGTTCCGCCCCCGCTGGGGGCGCGGCCTCCAGGGACTTGGGTGGTGCCCGGCTGCACGTGTCCTCCGGGGACCGAGGAAGCACAGGAGTGTTTGGGTTTGGGGTTTACAGATAAGTTTTAGCCATAAGAAAACAGAACGTGCGAACACGGGATCGCGAATAATGAGGGTGGGCAGTAATTGTGACATTACCTGCCCCAGGCCCCTCTGCCACGTGTGTGCTCCTCCTCTGCTCTCCCCACATCCCCGCAGCCTCAGGGAAGCCCAGGTGTGTCTGGCTCAGGAAATCTCATCCACACCATGGGCTCTGCGGCTCGTTATTGTGTGGAAATCACCTGGAGGGGCAGCCACCATCTCCTGACGGGGCAGGCAGGCGGACTCAGAAAAGCCCAGCACTATCAGTTAAATGGCCTGGCTAGGAAGTACCTTGTTCAAGTTCAGGTCACAGCTCACTGGCCAGAATCGGTCCCCTGGGACTTAAAGGGACAAACCACCCAACCAGGCTCTGATGTCTAACAACACTACCCCAGGAGTCTGAGCGGGGAGACCGACAGGGGTCTGAGGGAATAGGGTTTCTGCTCTGGGGTCTGGGGGGAAGGAGGGCAGCCCCTCTCTGGGGTGGGGGGGGGGCAGCCCCTCTCTGGGGTCTGGGGGGGGCAGCCCCTCTCTGGGGTGGAATAGGGCAGACAGCTGTCTTGGAGGGGCGGGGGAAACCAGGCACAGGTGGGCCCTCCCCCACGCACTCTGCTGCCTGAGAAAACTAGGCCTCCAGTGCTGAGCTATCTCACATCTCCCCTGCGGGCTCTGCCCCTGCCAGGTCCCGCCCGGCTGCTCTGGCGCCGGCCCGGGAATTCAATCTGGCTGGAAAGCAGAGGCTGTTTGTTTTCCCTGGTTGCCTTCTCAGCTACCCCGAAACCATCCCTGGATCACTTTCCAGGGCAGCCTGTGCGATCGGGGCCCTCGGGTGACCTGTGCTGGCCTTGGTCTAACTGGACCAGCTGTCACATGACCCTGCAAAATCCCCACCCTCTGTGCCCTGCTGGGCCTGGCCCTCACAGCGTCCCAGAGGGACCAGGGCCATCAATCCAAACAGCCCCAGGCTGGTTTGGCCCAGTCGTTGGAGCCTCCGCCTGCGGACTGAAGGGTCCTGGATTCGATTCTGGTCAAGGGCACATGCCCAGGTTGCGGGCTCAGTTCCCAGTAGGGGGTGTGCAGGAGGCAGCTGATCATTAATGTTTCTGTCTGTCTCTCCCTCTCCCTTCCTCTCTGAAATCAATAAAAATATACTTGTGGGGGAAAAAAACCACAAGTCCAACAGCCTCAGGCTGAGTTGACATCATCTTGGGCTACAGCTGAAACTGGTTTGGCTCAGTGGATAGAGTGTCAGCCTGCGGACTGAAAGGTCCCGGGTTCGATTCCAATCAAGGGCATGTACCTGGGTTGCGGGCACATCCCCAGTAGGGAGTGTGCAAGAGGCAGCTGATCAATGATTCTCTCTCATCGATGTTTCTACCTCTCTATCCCTCTCGTTTCCTCTCTGTAAAAAAATCAATAATATATATATATATATTTTTAAAAATCTTGGGCTGCAGAGGGAATGAAGCCTGACCTCTCCAGCATTTTGCTCGCTTCTGGGCGCTGAGAGCCAGGCATCACGGGAACCCGGCTCCCAAGCGGGACAAGGGACCTTTCTGGAGACACAGGCCCAGGTCCACTGCTAGCTAGTGGGTGACCCTGAGCAGTGACGTAGCCTCTGCACTTCCAGAACATTTCATCACCCCTAAAGGAGGCCCACCAGCAGTCACCCCCAGCTCCTGGCAGCCACCAATCTGCTTTCCTTCTCTGGATTTGCATGATTTGGACACTTCATACACACGGAATCATACAATATGGGGCTCTCTGTGTCTGGCTCCTTTCACGCAGTGTGAAGGTTGTAGCATGTGCCAGTGCTTCATTCCTTTGTGCGGATGGACCACGCTTTGCTCATCCATTCACCAGCTTGTGGGCTTTTTGGTGATTGTCCTGGGACTGCTGTGAGCGTGCGTGCACGAGGGTTTGTGTGAGCACCTGTTTTCAATCCTCTCAGGCTCCTTAAATGTTGTACTGACACCCTAGTCCTGGCCCTGAGGGGCCAGCTTCTAGTTCCCTGACCAGCCCAGGAGTGAGGCCTCTGCACCGGCAGCCAGCCGGTCCTTCCTCCTCTCTCCCCTCTCTTCCTCCCTCCGTCCCCAAGGCCTGCCCCTTCCAGGGAGTGTTAGAAACTGGAATCCCCAGTATCCTCAGGAACCTGGATCCCTCTGTGATGGGGTTCCAGCCGCTGCTGCTGGCTGGCCTCACTTCTCGGGCCTCAGTTTCCCCACCTGTGAGAGGGGCTGTCCTGAAGATGAACCGAGGACAGGAAAGCACCTGGCCCATAACATTTATTCTTATTTTATCCTCTTTGCTGATATTCATCGTGCTCACCAAGAGCCCACGCTCACTGGGCATGCTCATGCACAGTCTCCTGCCCCTACTCCCCGGTGTGGAGGGAGTCTGCAGCTTCCCGGGGACCCAGGGGGCAGATGGCCAAGGCTGGTCTGGGATCAGCTGGGTCCCTGCCCAGGGCCAGGTCCTGCTGGGTGCTGCCCCTTCCCTGCCCATTGGGAAGAGTCCTAAGGGGGTTTCCTTTGCTGTGGCTGAGCCTCCTCTGCTCCTTGGGTCCTGGAGCCCTCTCGGCTCAGGAAGGGGCAGGCTGGAGAATTCCTGGGACATCTGCACATTTGGGTGGATGTGTGTGTGTGTGTGGAGAGGGGGTCAGACCATGCCCACCCCTGGTGAAATGTATATGCATGAAGATTTGTGGGAGACAGTTCCCAGGGCAAACACCCTGTCTCCCCTTCCTGCCCTCCCCACCCTCACTCCTGCCCTCCCCCCCTCAGTCCTGCCTCCTCCTCCCCCTCCCACACTCCTACACAAACGTGGGCTTGGCCACAGAGCCCATTCAGGTGTGGCTAAGGGACAGGGAGACAGTAAGGCTAGAGTTTATTTGCAGGATGGGCGTGGGGCCAGGGCCTCTGGAGACTCCCAGGGCTCTGAGTTATCCACTAAGCCCTGCTGGTCTGTGAGCCCCAGAGCCTGACCATCTCTCCCAGCTACCAGGCGCCCCGACTGACAGCAGCACAGGCTGCCACACACTGACAACCTACTGTGCACAGGCCCCCGGAATGGCTTACGACGGAGTCTCATGGGAGCCTAGGCAGGGGGATCGGTGCTGTCCCCGTGTTATAGACCAGGAAACTGAGACTCGGAGCGGTGAAGCCCTCACCACGGACCCACAGCCAGGAGTCTGGGTGCAGCCCCTGAGGGCGGCTGTGGCCCCGGGCTCCTCTGAGCTCTGCACACCAAGGTTTCAAATGCTCACAGCCCGGAAGGAGTCGCAGAGACTTGCACTGGCAGCAGCATGGGAGTTACAGGACCTGGCTCTGGTGCTCAGTACTGGCCGGGGGACCCGTGGTGAGTCACAGCCCCTCTCTGGCCTCGGTTTCCTCATCTGTAAAATGGACGGAGACATTTAGAGAACCACTGCCTAAGCCCCACCCTCCCCTCCTGCCTATCCCAGAACCTCAGTGTCTGTCTGTCTGTGTGCTTCATTTCCCAGTCTCCCCTGCAGCACGTTGTGGCTACGTCCTGATCCGTGAGAAATAAGCAGAAAGGTCCCAAGGCCCCCACGGAAGATTTTGGAAAGATGCTGAGCCAGCCCAGGCCTCTGCCTTCCTCTCTGAAGGAGGATGTGAAGTCAGGAGCCCTGGCAGCCATTCTGTGCCATGAGGCAGCGTGGAGGGCCAAAGCCCGGGATGCTGTGAACTGAGAGAGAAGCCAAGCTCTGCTGCTACTGTGAC